GTCGATAACACAAGCGTCAATTTTGTTATCTACAAACCACAACTCTTTTTTCCTAGTCTGTGTGACAGTCTTTGATAAGTAGCGCTAATATCATCGCCCCTTTCTCGACAAATAAAAATAAAAAAACTTTTAAAGTTTACAAATGCAACTTCCCGAACATTGCGTTTTATTAAGTTGCAGCTTACTATTTGTAAGTAACTTGTAAGAAAATAGAAATTGAAATCTTTGGATCACAGAACTCTTTGACAGTTTTGTTCAAAATCCCAAACTGTCGGTAACCTAGGATCGTGGCTATTTAAAGAGTTCATGGTCTCAAAAGTTAATACACACTTCGAGTCCTTAGTAACTGTCAAGCGTGATCATTCGAACAATGGGTATTGAAAAACCCAATTATTTTTTTAAATAAGTTTTTGTTTTCCATTTTGAGCTAATGCGCTCATACGATTAAAAACGATAAAGTCAGGGACGAAGAATTATACCCATATTTTTCTATTCTTGACTTTTATCGTCAAAAATTGAAACTCTTCCTCGTTCCGTGATTTCTATTGTTGGTCGCGTGATATGTGAGATCAGACAATAAATCTGAGACACACGAACCATTAGACGAACTTGAATAAATTAGTCTGGCCTAAATAGAAGATGGCGCTCACGCTTAGTTCGCTGGTAACCAATGTGAAATCGGCCTTCCAAAACCACTCAGGTTCCATAAGAAACACCACTTGCTGGTGTTTGGCCTGAATCCCGTCGTACAGAGTGAAGATTTCTTCCAGTGTCCTCCAGACAACTTTGTTTTTTACGCCAGCTGTTTCTTCATCATTCCTGCTTTGTTTTTGTTTATCGCGACGATTTTTCTTCGCAGCGGATTTTGGGACCATGTTCGTGGATGCTGTTATTACGAAGGTCCGTACAAGCGAGGAGCAAAACGGTACTGCTGTTGTTTGTTTCCAAGATGGCCTTCCAGCAAAGCTCTTGTGGAAATCGTATTCCAAAGTTCTCTGTCTGGGTTCATGTGGATTTTCTGGGCCCTCTTGCAGCGTGACTATTACATCTGCGCCGCTCTCGGAGGAACGAAAGCAGCGAAATTAATCAGTACCTCAGCCGCGTAAAAGTTACAAATCGAAGCAGATTACGCGAAAGCGGGAAAAAATTCACAGACGGCAGCGTTGCTCTTGCTAGCTGGAGCGTTACTTACAGCTTTCGTTGTTGTTTCAGTTCAGCGATGCTCTTATCAGCGTGAGTTCGGCACTTTACCGAGTCCGTACCAGTATAAGAAGCTCGAGTCAGAAGCTGCTGTGGAGGCCTTTAAACTGAACATGGAAAAACTCGCGAAAGGACAAGGCAAGAGGCGTGCAGATATGTACTTTGCGACCATGAACAAGAAAAATCCGTCTGACATCCTTAAGAGTGCCTATGAAAATCTCGTCGCTGTGAACAAATTTGACGAAGGGTTTCCATCTTTGGAAGATTATCAGGAGCTCCAAGCACAGGCGGTTATGGGCATCTCCAGGGATGATAGAGTCTCCAAGACAGAATTGCTGCGCAGAGCCAACATGCCATGCATTAAGGCACTCATCATGA